TGACTGCTGGCTGTCACAGGAGGAGAAGGAGCCCTGGCCAGCCCTTTCCTCCCAGCCCTGTGCTTACCGCAGAGAGGAGCGTTCTACCCCCTGCTCACCTAGGATTCGTGGCTCTGGAAAGGAAGAGAGTAAGATGGAGCAGGAAATCACGGGAGACTTAACAGGGCACAAACTTTGTTATTGGGAGGCTCCGATTCTCTGTTAGGGCAGGAAAATGAGACGTGGGCATCCGTGAACATGGGAGCAATGAGCTGAGCTGAGGCTACCTGAGAAGGGGCCCAGTGGGGTGTAGGCACAGCTGTGCCGGATGGTTGCGTGGCTGGAAGTGCCTGTCCTGGAGGGTGCGTTAATTTCTGTTGCTGTGGCAGAATTCCCGAGAAAACCAACATGAATGGAGAAAGGCTTGTTTTGGTCATAGTGTCAGAGGTGCCGGCCCATGGCTGGCTGCTTTGCTTCTAGGTGTGTGGGAAGGACCAAAGCCTCATGGTGAGGGGTGTGGCAAAGGAGACGGTTCACCTCAAGGCTGCCAGGGAGAAAGAACAGAGAGGAGGGTCCAGGGACAAGACATCTCCTTCAGGGGCCTCTTTCATCACACAAGCCCTATCCCTGTAGGGGCTCATCAGTGGATTGAGCATTGATGGATCCAATCACCTCTCAGCAGGGCCACCAGCTGGGGACCAGGCCTCCACACTGGAGCCTTTGGAGGGAGGACACATCACAGCCAAACCATAGCAGGCAAGTATCTTTCACTTTAGGTCCTTGGGGTGCCAGGCAACCCTTGTTTTAGGAAGCAAGGAGCATCCTGGGATCTTCCCCTCCCTGGGCTGGAGATGGCACATAGTCTGAGGGCCAGAGGTCTGTGTTGTCTTTGGTGCTGTGTCCTGAGACCCCCAAGGTGGCAGTCTAGGTACAGTGAGGCCTGGGACTTGGTCTTGGAGTATGGTTTCTCATAGTAACCATGTTTATGGAAGAGCCCCAGACTGCAGGGGTGGGTACAACAGCAGCCATGACATGAGGACCTTCATGCTGGGGTTTGGCACCATTCTACCTCACAGTCATCTGTGTGTGGCTCTCCTAGTGGGCCTGGCACTCCTGGGTCTGGCTGTTGATGGATCACAGTGCATTTCTGGAATGGATTTCACACAGGCCTGCCAGGTATGACCTGGAGATTGGAGGACAGAGAGTTTGCGTTCTGTTTTCTCCCAGCACTAAAATAAAGGCTAAGGGGCAGAAAACCACAGTGAAGGAGCTCAGTGCAAGGATGTTGGGGTCTGAGTTGCTGATGCAGAAAGGTTCTGGTAGTATCGTTCCCCAGGCTTCCCGATGCCCTCAGCTTGTGTAAGGAATTGGTGTCATGTTAGAGTTGAAAGCGTGTTTACTCAGTCTCATTGTCCCTTTGGCAATTCTCGTGTCTGAGCTCACTCAGAGTCCCTTGGATGGCCTGAGTGCAGACCTGCTGAGGCGGGGATGGCACACAGATTATCTGTGGCATCTGCTTCTCCATGGAGGGCACTTAGATTGTTTCTGGTTGGGGCATGTGATGGCTAATAGTGACCATCAACTTGACAGGATCTAGAATCACCTAAGAGACAAACCAACCTCTGGACCTATCTGTGAGAGTTTCTAGATTTGGTTGAGGTAGAAAGACTCACCCTGAGTGTGGGCAGCACCAGCCCAGTGACTGGGGCCCCACCCTGAATTAAAGGAGGAAGCCAGCTGAGCACGGCATTCATCTCTCTGCTTCCCGACTGTGGGTGCCGTGTGACCAGCTGCCTTGCGTTCCTGCCACAGTGCTTTCCTGCCGTGACGGACCACACCCTTGAACCATGAGAAGAGTAAACGTCTTAAGTTGCTTCTTTTTAGGTGTTTTGTCACAACAACCAGAAAACTACCTTGTGTGGGGCCTTTGCAGACCCAGCTGCTGGGAACCTTGTGGATTTTACAGAACGATGTGCCTTTGTTTTTTTGCTGCGTGCCCCTCAGGCATGCAGCCCCTGGGCAGGCATGCAGCTCCTGAGCTTGGTGACAGCTGCACGTGCAGTTTTAGGAGACATGGCGGCCTGCCCATCCTGTCCACCTTATTCTGCATCCCCAGCCACAGAGGGGCACAGCTGCCCCTCGGTGCTGGTGTTTGCTGGTGTCACTGGGTGGTTTCAGCCACCTGGTGGGTGAGTAGTGGGGGTCTGTAGATGCTGTAACCTGCGCTTTCCCGACAGCTGGACTCGTGCAGTGCTGTTTCCCCGGCAGCACCCACCTTCTTCAGCCTTTCCTATCTCTCACCCATTTTCCAGTTGACGTATCTATTTTGTTTGCTGTTAAGTTTTGAGACATCCCACTGTGCTCTAGATGAGGAGGTCTAAGGGACTTCCGTGGAGGTTTCCTTCCACTGAACTGTCTGGCCTTCCTTTTAACGGTTGCCCATGGAGCAAGTCTTCAGCTTTGATGGAGCACAATGTACCAGTTTTTCTTTTTAGGAACCATGTTTTGGGTCTAGCTGGAGATTCTGTGTGGCCATAGGTCAAAAGATTTTCTTCTGTCCCACCCTAAGGATTTGGATTTTCATTTTATGTTTCCATCTCTTTTGTGTTGGTGTCGGTCTCTGTTGGGGTTAGACGACCATTTTTCTGCTTTCCTGCCTAGCTGCTCCACCCCACCTCCAGCATGTGCACCCTACCCCAGCATCTGCCCCACCTTGCACCACTGAGCTGTGAGGGCTCTTTCCTTGGAGGCCTGTTGGGCAGCCAAACCATCACTGGACCTCCCATTCTGCTGTCAGTGTCCATGCCATGTCTGCAGGTGGCACCTGTGTAGCCAGTGTGACCATCATCAGGCAGGCAGACGCTCCTGCTTGGTTACCCTTCCAGAGCCTTTTGCTTTCCCCGATGTCTCTAGAGCAGTGCCTCTAAAACCTTTTATACTCACAACCCATGTCCTCTGGAGAAACTTGTACACAACCCCAGGTGTGTAAGTATATAGAGTAGTTATACAGATAAAACACTTACGATGATAAATCATAAATTTATTTTTACACTTGATTTATTGTGTGAGGGCCTATGCCAGGATGCATGGGTGGAGGTTAAGGACAACTTGCAGGACTTGGTTCTCTCCTTCTACCACGCAGGTCCTGGGGATTGAACTCAGGTCATTGGGCTTAGTGGTAAGTTCCTTTACCCAGTGAGCTGTCTCACCAGCCCAGAAGTTTAAAGAGCACTGGCTGTTCTTAAAGAAGACCTGGGTTTGAATCCTAGCACCCACGTGGTAGCTAACAACCATCTGTAACTCCAGTTCCAGGGTATCTGATGCCCTCGTCTGTCCTCCGTGGGCATTGCATGACATAGGTTTCACTTACACACACACAGGCATAACACTCATACACATAAAAAAATGAAAGAAAAAGACCCCCACAATTCTTTGACATACATATAATTTTAACATTTATTAGGTGAAAGCAAATTTGCATACTGGTATTTGTTGGCTTTTTACATAAAAAACTTAATCTTGGCTGAATGGTTGCAGTATGTGGAGCTCTCCAGGGTTTTTCACAGATGACTGACTTAGATTTCATAATCATGAATGCTAAGAACGAATGGCACTTTGAAAATCCATTATGAAAAATGGCAGAAGCATATCTGGGGCACTTCAGAAACTGTTGACAATTCTGTTCTAACACGGACCAAAATTCATTAAAAAATTTTTGTTATTTTACTTTATGTATATGAGTGTTTCGTCTGCATGTGTGTAAGTGCACCCGTGTTGTGAGATGCCCAGGGAGGCCAGAAGAGGGCGTCAGATCCCCTGGAACTGGAATTAAGGATGGTTGTCAGTAGCCATGTGGGTGCTGGGAACTGAACCCAGGTCCTCTGCAAGAGCAGCCAGTGCTCTTAACCACTGAGTCATCTCTCCAGCCCTCATTTAATAATAATTTTGAAAATGAGACTCAAGTCCGCAACTTAAAAGGCCATTTTTAAAATGAAACATTCTGGGGCTGGAGCGGTGGCTCAGCAGTGAAGAGCTTGCTGCTCTGATAGAGGACGCACACAGATCCCATGATACACATGGGTCAGAGGACAACTTGAGGGAGTCAGTTCTCTCCTCCTCTCCTGTGGGTCCCAGGGATCAAACTCAGGTCCTCTGGCTTGGTGGCAGGCTCCCTTACTGCTGAGCCATCTCGCTGGCCCTGATCTTTTCTTGGAGAAATTATTCCAGTCTCTGAGCGGTCACATCCCTCTGTGTGACCTTGGGTGGGCCCCAGGTTCCTGTTATAAGGCTGACTGTGCTCAGTGAGCAGTAGCTGTGTGTTCAGGGATACAGGGCTGTGTTTGTAGTACAAAGCTGTGTGTTTGGGGTGCAGGCTGACCTTGTGTTTGGGGTGCAGGCTGACCTTGTGTTTGGGGCATGAGGCTGACCTTGTGTTTGGGGCGCGAGGCTGACCTTGTGTTTGGGGCGTGAGGCTTCAGGGATACAGGGCTGTGTTTGTAGTACAAAGCTGTGTGTTTGGGGTGCAGGCTGACCTTGTGTTTGGGGTGCAGGCTGACCTTGTGTTTGGGGCATGAGGCTGACCTTGTGTTTGGGGCACGAGGCTGACCTTGTGTTTGGGGTGCAGGCTGACCTTGTGTTTGGGGTGCAGGCTGACCTTGTGTTTGGGGCGTGAGGCTGACCTTGTGTTTGAGTGCGGGCTGCAGGCTTCAGAACTCTGCCCTTGGCTGCCTTCCTGGGTTCACTGCAGCTCCCACTGACAATTCTCCACTCCAGCAAAGAGCCCTCTGCACTCTGAGTAGCTTGAGGCTTCTGGAAGGGGTTTCTTGGTTCCCACAGTCCCTTCTCATTGCTCCCTGACTGAGTGTAGGCAGCCAGGCTGCAGGAAGCCAGTAGTGGCCCACACTTAAGCTGGCTCCCCTGGGCTTCCACCCACTTGTGTGTTCATAGAAGTGGGGCACTCACCCTTCTGGAAGTGTGGACATGGAAGTGGCTGGGTGGGGGGTTCCTTTTTGAATATAGGGCACAACTTCAAGGAGAGACCAGAGTTCTGCCCATACTGCTACCCAGGAGGATTGTCAAAGGGAGCAGTTTCCACACCCGGTGTGGTGCCCTGCTGGGATCAGGATGCTGGGGTGCCGTGGCCTCCCAGGTGGCTGGGAGCACCCTGTGGATACTTCTGAGAGTGCAGTTTTAATGATTTTGAAGAGCCACCCTCACAGATCTGTGCAGAAGCCTTCAAGGCAGAGCTACCCCGAGTGCCCCACCAACTGTGTGTGGTCACACAGTGGAGGGCATGAAGGTTGTGTAGTCATTGGGAATACACTGTGACAGGTCTTCATGCGGTTCCCAGCACAAGGAAATCCCGTATTTTGACCAGCAACTGTGACATGAGGTAACTTTTTTTCTTGTCCAAGTTCAGTGACCTGAGATTCCTTTGACCCCGGATGAGACCACAGCCTGACCCCAGCCTAGGCAGGCAGGTTAGAGCACTGGGAGCTCAGGGCCCTGTCATGAAGTCAGACTGGAGCTCTGGGGTCCTCAGACCCAGAATCTGCTGGGGAGGAACTGGGAACCTGCCTGTGAACAGCCACCCAGGCAGGGCTCACACACTAGATTTGGGCAAGCTCTGAGGGCATTGGGAGCAATTATTCAGGTGTGTGCACCTGAGTCACAGACCAGGACACAATGGAGGACAGAACTGCCCAGGGCCCTGATGGACAGTGGGAGCCTTCTTCTTCAGTACCGCTCTGTGGGGACTACTGCGGCTTAGCAGCCACCTGCTGCTCCATTCCCAAACCTGGGCCAGGTGTTCCTTCCCAGGTGGCTCCACTTGGAATCCTGGTGAAGCTGGTAGAGCCTTCCGGACATGGACGTTGGTACCCTCCCTCTCTTGCTGTGGGCATCAGTCTTGGGGGTGGGTGACCGTCATGGGGTAACTACATGGAGGTAGGCTGCATCTCTGGAAACTTCCTGGAGGAGGCGTGTGCCTGGGGAATCCAGACAGCCCAAGGCAGCCTGTTGGTATGGTACGGTTAGCTTCTGCTTTCTCCCTGTGAGCTGAACTTGAGTGTCCTCCTCCACAGAGCAGAGTGAGGCTTCAATGACATGCAGATGTGGGTGATTTTCCGTTCTGGATGGAGTGGGCTGATCTGGGCTCAATCTCCTGCTCTGCAGTTTCCTAGCAGTGTGACCCTGGGGTAAGGGTGACTTTTAAGAGAAGATAACACCCTAACGCACACATACCAAGGCATACACGTCAGTGATCTTCCTTAAAGCGCTGGCTTTTGAAGGTGCCTGGAAGACAACTGCCAGCATTTCGGACAACCCGGCAGACAGGCCCCGGGGAAGGCCGAATGAATACAGGTAGGTGCCGAGAAGTTACTGACAGCTTTCAGCGTGAGGAGACGCAGCTCCCTGTCTCTTCTGTGATCCGCAGAGCAGTAAACAGTTCTGGAGAAGCAGCTGGGCAGGGACTAGGCATGGTGGTCTTGCAGTTTTTCTCATGCGTGCTCTGAGTCTGTGGATGGTGACAGGTCTCTCCTCCCCTCCTGGATCTGTGGTGCCCTTGGATGGAAAGGCAGTGAAGACGGCTTTGTAGGGTCGCTATGCATAAGCTGAGGGGTCCTGAAGGGGACAGGCCAAGCGGGCCTGGGAATCTGTTCTGAGATTCAGTTTCTGGACTTGGGGGTGGGGGTTCTCGCCCTCCCTGACCTCCCCCTGTTCTTTTAAGGGCAGATCCCAGGGCTTAGAAGTGTCTCCCATCAACATCTCTGGTGCGTGTGCTGGTCCCTCCCTCCATGCCTTGCATGCATCCATCATCATTAGGTGTTCCCGATGAGATCGGCCTTGCTCCTTTGGAAGCGTTCAGCCGTTCTCTGGGTCACCAATTCCCTTTCTGGCCATTTGCTCAAAGCAGCCAAACGTGGAGGCTTTCATCAGAATCCCTCGCCGCAGGTGTGGTCATGAGCAACACCTGCTGTGGGGTCTGGGTCTGCTGTTCCACTAGGGGGAGGGGATGGAGGCTCAAGTGCGGGAAGCTGTTCTTACAGGTGGTGTTGCCTGGCCTTTGAGAGGATCTCCTGGCAGCAGCTTTGGGTGACTGTTTGCTCCCAGAGGGCCTCCTTCTCCTCCCCTTCTGCGTCCTGTCCCAGGGCAGGGGCGGGTAACTGACTGGCAAGGAATTGCTCCCCAGCTCCTAGCCCTGCTCCTGGTAAACTGGGAAGAAATTCCGGGAGAGAAGGATGGTCTGGCTCTTGTTCTAACCATGGCGGATGGCCTGCCTCAGCCCTGCCCACAGGAATCACACTCTTCTGGGAAGAACAGGGTGGGACAGCCACGCTTCATCAAGCAGCTCAGGATCCTACCTGGAGATGGGGCCGAGAGAGCACAGCCCGTGTGGCGGGAGATAAACCTGCCAAAAGGGGGGGCCTCTGCCCTGGTCCGTTTCTCACCTCACCCCGTTTCCATCAGAGTCAGCCCAGAGCCAGCCTAAGGGTGGGCACCATCTTCAGAGGGAGCTAGAGGCCCAGGGGCTCGTCACCCTCACAGCGCCAGGCAGGAGTTGGCTCCCTCTGGTGTGGGCAGGAGGCCCAATCCTCCCTACTCCACGTAGCCAACAAGCTGCTCGGGATCTGACTTGGCTTTTGTTTTCAAGTCACATTGTTTGATGCTAGGGGCGCGGCAATTGCACCAGGGCTGGGAAACGAGGCCAGTGGCTCTTCTGTGGGAGGCTGGAGGAAGTGGCCTGTGGCCTATCACCTGGAAACACATCACTGATGGGCAGGGTCTGGGCATTCAGAACCCTCTGTTGTTGGCCAGGGCTGAGCCTTCAGGGCCTCCAGCTGCTGGGTGGGGCTGGACAGCCAGGGCCCCCAGCAGCCTGAGCCCAGGAAGGCAGCAGAGGGGAAGAGAGAGTCCCCACCCAGACCAGGAGATGCCAGAGGCCAGAAACCCGAGTCACTCACCCCGGTGGAGGACCTCCCTGAATGAGTGGAGGTGCATCCTGCTCCATGGCACTTCTCAGCTGGGGAAGGCTGGGCGACTTGGCTGAAAGGTGCTTGTGAGTGTCTAGAGGAGGCAGGCCAGGCGATCACCACTGGAAGGCCAGGGCGGGCATATGGGAGCCTCCCCCAGGCATGGTACGATCTCTCCCTTGGACCTGGCATTGGTGTTGGTTCTGGTGGTCCTAGGCGGCCTCATCCCAGGGGTGCTGTGTTCCCTCCTGATGCAGTGAGGTAAGCTAAAGGCTGCTGTGCCATGTGGCCCTGCACTAGGAGCCCCTCCCTGTCTTAACCCTCCAGGGGTTGACCCTATATACCAGAAGGATTAAAAAGGGATGGGAGGGTTGAAGAGGTTGGCTCAGGCCAAGCAGAGAATAGAAACTAAGTTGGTGGGGCCAGCACCGCATCACAGGCTGAAAGAGCTGTGTTGGTCATAGGTCCTGGATGGGCCAAAAGACTCAACCTCACACTGTCATCATTAGCAGGGATGACACCAGCCTTGAAGGGGATTCAGCTTGGCCCCTGCCCCTTACGAGTTTGGCTACAGCATTGAGATCTTGGCTCCCACGTTTAAACCCGGCCCTGGGCCTCTGGGAGAGTTGAGTAGGTGGAATTCCATACATACTTAAATGCATCTCTAATCAATCCCAATGACCTAAGGATAATAAATCATGCGCCTGTCACTCGGTAACCTTCCCATCCTGCCTTCCTAATCCCGAGTTGGCAAAGAGGTCCGGACCACATTACATGGCTGTGAGGTGACTACGTTGGGGCCTCTGAGGGCAGGTTTGCCCTTCGTCAGGACGCGTTCATCATCATTTTCTTTCTGCTCTCCTCACAGTGGACACGGGCCGTTTCTGTCATGGTCGCCAGGCCATTTCCCTCCTTCTACTCTCCCCAGAGGTGGACAGGACAGGTGACTGTTCACTCTCCAGCTGTGCCAAGCACAGGCCATCTGCAATTGTGGATGGAGCCCCCCTCCTCCCTCCCTCCCCCTTCCCTCCTCCCTCCTTCCCTCCTCCCTCCTTCCCTCCCTTGCTTCCATCCTCCCTCCCTCTCCTCCTTCCCTCTCCTCCTTCCCCCTCCCTCCTTCCTTCCCTCCCTCCCTTCTTCCTTTACCTCCTTTTCCTTGTCTCTCCTTTTTTTCTCTTCAT